GTACGAAAACAGGATAACTTCTATTTGCATATCGGATCTTTGTCCGGGGATTATGCTGATCGACATATGATGGAGCAATAAACTGTCCGACCTCTTGAAATCTGTCCTAATCCGGCAAAGGAAAAGAGGCATACACATAATCGGCATTAGCCAAGTTAAAAATTATTGTACATGTTATGATAAATATTATCGATTGGCATTCAGACAGGGTAAGAATACAAGCAGATTAAGAATAATAATGGACTACATAAACCTACCTTAGCATTGAAAATCGACATTTTCCCTAAACTGAGCTTCCTACTTAATTTAATTACATTTATTTTTATTCTATTTCAGCTACAAATTCACATTGTATACGATGTTTCGCACACTAATTCAGTATTACCTGCTGCTCTGCGCAGTTCTAAGTCACATCGGTCACCCTGTGGTAACGCAGCGTACAGCATTGGATGTCACTTTTCGTGACCTGTATCGACCGTTGCGTTTGTTCGGTTTGAATTTGGCTGGACGTTCTGGTGATAATGCTGATAATAGACAGTTGGCGCGAGATATGGGTGTAAGTTGATGGTAGAAGAAAAATACAATTAAATAAAACATTCACCGTTAACATTTTTGCACAAATCACAGAAAACACAAAATCTCAATACACGCGCTCGTTCGTTAGTAAACTTCTGCGATGCGCTAAATGGGCCCGGAAAGCGCAGCGAAACACGGCCCACCTCAGTGCATCGCCTGCGACCTGGTGATATAGATGTTATAGGAGCAATGGGTGATTCGTTGACGGCTGGTAATGGTATTTTCGCCACTAATTTGTTGCATGTCACAGTGGAGAATCGTGGTATGGTATGGAGTATTGGTGGGCAAGGTACGTGGCGGCAGTATTTGACGCTGCCAAATATACTCAAGGAATTCAATCCGAACTTGTATGGCTATTCGCTGAAAGATGGACTCTCCACGGATCGTAGTTCGAAGTGAGTAAAATCGGTCGTAGAATGATTTCTGTGACTCTTATTGAAAATAAATGTTTTGCAAACTAAAATCTATATACGTACGTACATACATATAATAGGGGAGTTCACGATTTGTAGTATTTGGGGTTTAAAGTTGCCACGTAGCAATCTAGTACGCATTTTGTTGCTTTTCAAAGAATAAAATGCGCGCTAGATTACTATGTAGAAACTTTACTCTTAAAATGCCACAAATCGTGAATCGCCCTAATAATTTTTCGTTTCACATAAATTACTCAGATTCAATGTCGCCGAGCTGGGTGCTATGTCGCGCGACATACCGTACGAAGCGCAAGTGATTGTCAAACGTATGTCACGTGACCCCAAAGTGAACATGACTGCCGATTGGAAGCTCATCACACTACTCGTTGGTAATAATGATTTTTGCTCTGATGTTTGCTTTCTACCACGACCTGAGGATGCAATTAAAAGGCATGAGGAGAATATGGTGAAAACTTATCGTTATTTGCGTGACAACGTACCACGCCTTATGCTGAATGTAGTACCAGCACCAAATCTGGACTTTTTGGTGGGCCTTAGCAGTAAGACGCCAGTGTGTCATACTACTCTAACATTTGAATGCCCCTGTTTGGTGTCAAAGCCCAGGCAGCAAGTAGCGAGGATGAAGCAATTAATGAAAAAGTGGGCTGCAAAGGATAGGGAGATAGTGAATAGAGCTGAGTTCAATTCGGAGGTGAGTAAAGCAAAAAAAGAAAAGATATTTACCATATTGGATATTTATTAGGCACAAAAAAATCGATTAATCACTTCTGATTCGCAGACATTCACCATCAGCATACAACCATTTACTTTATTTGATGACTTCTTCCCGTCCAGCGATGACGCGGGCAAATTCAAGTTTCTTTCAGAGGACTGTTTCCATCTTAGTCAGCGTGGACATGCTATTAGTAAGTCATTCAGTAATTTCACGGGCACGCTGTGCATTTATTCAATTTATTTTAATACCATAATTACATTTTAAACAGGTGCCAATTATCTGTGGAATAATATGTTGGAAGACGACGACAATAAAAGCATTATGACGGAACCAAGACTGTTGGAGAATTTCCACTGCCCGACAGCGGAACACCCTTATTTTATGACACGCGTCAACAGCCGTAAAGATTTTCAATTGTGACTTTGATTTTGAACTTCGATTAACGGTCGCGAGGCGTCACGTTTCATCGATTGATTTCTGGGGGGAAAATGCGAATAATTTAATAATAAAATTCTGTGATAAATTAGATATAAGTGCATGGAGCCAATAGTCTTAGTTAGTCATGTGTCGATTCATATGCTTGCAAATACATTTACATACTACACGTAGAATTGGCTTTGCAATAAAAAACCCATAAGTATTTATAAAATAGTCATACATTACGAATAAACGTAAGTACGGGAATAAATAGTTTAAATGCTAGTTAATAATGCAAAATATAAACGAGATATTTGTAAAATAAATATGTATGTATATGCAATTATTCAAAAAGGAAACAATAAATTGCGAAGAAATCCATATTTAATTTTAAAAAAGCTTAATAAAATATTGAAGGGTTAATTGAATTAAGTTTTTGTGGCGCAACTCCAACATTACATTGTCTATAAAGGGGTGAAGGTGACATAGACCGGCATTAAGCCTTTAATAGACCACCGGTTGGAGCGATACCAGATGGAGTGCGATTGTTATGAGTTGTAGTAGAGATTAGTTAGTTAGAAATTTTAGTAATTTTTTTAACTCGATTTTCAAGGTATAGTAGAATTAAAAATCGGGAAACAATAAGGAAGAGAAGAAGGACTTTTCATTGAATTGTGTAAGACAGCCAAATGGCAGAAAATAAGAGGAGAAATCAGCTATATTACTTCACCTGCTTATTGCGCCCGGTCTGTTTTAACGACTTGAGAGGACCCTAAGTATATTAATGTTTTTCGGTTAACTTGACACCATAAAAATGAACTCAGAATCCGCAGATAATGCTGTGATGTATAATTGTCCACAAATGTTATTCTAGCATATCCTTACACCCCTGTGAGGTTTTGATGCATTAAGTCAGCTCTTCTGTCCAGAGCATATCGATGGCTGAGTGGAAGATCGATCTATCTCGGCTGCCAGTCCGAAAACGCTCTATCTCAAACAACTTTTCAAAAACGCCCTATTTCAGAATTTTATTGAAAAACACCCTATCTCGAAATTCGGTTCAAAAACGCCCTATCTTCCTTCAAAATGTATTGAAAATATGCTGATATAGGGCGTTTTTGAATCGGCAGCTGAGATAGGGCGTTTTTGAAACGAATTCTGAAATAAGGCGTTCTTGAAAAGATTTTTGAGATAGAATGTTTTCGAACTGGCTGCCGAGATAGGTCGACTTTCCACTCAGCCATCGATATACTATATACAAAGTATGGAGGAAGCACGTTTTCATCCTGTTGAATGGTAACTGCACTGAAATAAGCAGCGATGATGAATCCCAAACCCGTGTCGAAGATGACTGAGCCGGGATCCTACCTCTCGACTATGACGAGGTTCGAATAGCAATTACGCCACTTAAAAAAATGCAATGCTGTCAGCTGAGATACTCAAATATCTATGCAGAATATGGTCGGTTGAACGGATGCATGAGTACTGGAATTTCTGTAAGTGTGCTCTGCCCAATTCACTAGGACGGTGACCTTGCCATATGCGTCAACTACAACGGAATAAGCCTTCTGAAACAGCATACCTGTTACATACCGCCCATTGTACTGTTTTGACATTTCTTTAGTCTGTTCTAAGTTTATATGATTTACGAATAAATCGAAGCAAATTTTTGGGCATCAAGGAGCTCAGTTGACCGTCTGCCTCTGAGCATCGGTACCAAAGTAATCATACCTAAACCTTTCAAAGGGTGGACAGAGACACATAAAGTTTTCTGTTGTCTCATTCTTTTCAAGACAGGTAGAGAAAATGGGGATTAAATGTATGTATGCCGATTACCAGTCAGGTGTTTGTGCTACGAGAAGTATCAAGAATTAAGGTTTGCGCGCTTGCAGCGTCTCGAAGCTATGACTGAAGGTGGGAGTGATATAACTGGTTGCGAACTGAGGAATACCTCATCCAAGTCCTCCCTTGCCATATAGTCCGATGTCTCATTACTAGGTACTGCCGAGTGACTTCGTAGCCAGAGGAAAACAAGCAGTTTATATCTTCCAGCATAATTTAGACGAGGCTTGCATATCCAAGCCAGTCTGGAAGTAGTTGAAGGGCTTTGACTGTACCTAGCTTGGTTGTCGCGCCAGATACGTAAACTCCTGAATCAACACGTATTTTCCACCACGTAACACTGGTCTACAAATTTCAACTTTTTTTCTGCGAATAAGACGGGACCTGGTGTTTCTGAACGGATTTTTCGTGCTGAACACGAATCCGGGGTCAAAAATGTCCCATCACGTCACGTTTTCGAGAAAAAAGGGGTTGAAACCCCTAAAAACAGCGTTTTTGGCCATTTTCGAAAAATTATAGAGCTGAACCCTGACGTGGTACAAATTTTGCATATATCAGAAATTAAAGGCTAAACCGTGCCCTTTCGAATGAGCCCTATGCCGAATTGATCGCGTGCACCCTTAAAGCAGGGGGTGTATTTGTGTTTAGGGGTGCAGGAAAAATTGATCACAGAAAGAATTTAATCTTAAACGATCATAGAAAATTAATAATGCCAAGGCTTTAACTATATTAAAAGTCGCTGATTACGAATCTGCAGTTAGATTTTAAAAATTTAAGATGACGGGTCGAATATGGTGGATATAAAAATTTCACTCCTAGACACAAATACACCCCCTGATCTAAGGGTGCATGCGATTAATTCGGCATAGGGCTCATTCGAAAGGGCACGATTTAGCCTTTAATTTCTGACATATACAAAGTTTGTAGCACGTCAGGGTTCAGCTCTACAATTTTTCGAAAATGTCCAAAAACGCTGTTTTTAGGGGTTTCAACCCCTTTTTTCTCGAAAACGTGACGTGATGGGAAGTTTTGGACCCCAGATTCGTGTTCAGCACGAAAAATCCGTTCGGAAACACCAGGTCCCGTCTTATTCGCAAAACCCTTGTAGACCAGTGTAATCTATGGTCTTGAAAACTGCAAATGCCTCGGATTGAAATGTCGAGACTTATTTCCAAAAAACTAGTCTGGGAATGAACAATTCACTAGGATTACTTCCACAACAGACTGATTTGGATTCCGAAACACACCGATATTGCAGGAAACTGCCGATGAACTGGCCAGGCTGGACACCTTAGAAGCCATCACCAAGGAAAGGGAGGTCGTTGGGTTACCTATGGCAACCTGCTGACTGCTTCTGGACAAATGGGCTCTTAGTAGGCTCAGCGAACGCTGGGAGGAGACGTCGACAATAAAAGTCCTTTTTTCCGATAGTTGATTGTGGGCGGTCTAGGCAACTCCAGCTTACAAAGCAACAACTTTCGGTGTTGGTGAAGGTTTTGACTGAAAACTGCCCAATGGGAATTCATGCGGTAGGTCTTCTCAGCTGTCCTGCCTTTTGTGAGGCTCAGGTTTAAGCATCTCGGGTCGTTCTTGATAACTACTCCAGAGGGATCTAGAGTGGAAGTCAGCTGCTTGCGGAACTTCATAACTAGCACCCAGCGCTTTTCTAGCCTTATTTGATTATCGGTTGTGCCGTTCCAGGATATTCTTTTTCTTTTTAGTGGTAACGCAACGGATATTATAAAATATATCAGCTTTATACTTCTCCAGAGGCTGACTGGACCTATAAAATTGGCTAAGTGTTTCGGTGTTTTTTAGCTCAAGGCTTTTTTCGAATTCTAACAGGATACGAAAGTGTAGGCTGCACTGTCATATTTGGTAAAAGTCGGACAACATATGTATGTAATGGATTGGAGCAAAACCATAAAATGAAAAAAGAAGAAATTGTTAGTATCAAAGGAAAGAGAGAAATCAAAAATCGATGAATTCTAAATGGCAAACCGTTGGCTGGTCAACTTGATTACAAAGTCCGGCACGTTATGTTTGGTAGGTTTTGAAGACTTTTGGAAGAAATTTTTATAGGAAAAAGCATGTCTGAATGAAACACAGCTTTCAAATTCAAGGGGAAAACGTGATTCTGTTTGAGTAAAGTGCAATGTGCTATAAGGGTTCTGAATTAAATATTTCAACTAAAGCAATCAACAATATTGAGGGCTGTTTCATTATTATTTTAATTACGGGTATTCACAATTAAATGTCAAAATGAGTGCAAATACAAATACCCACACACATACATGTCGCACACGTTCTTCAAAACTAAAAAAATTTAGTCCGGTTTTTCGAATACATCAATTCGCAGGATTTATCTCCAATTAATGCTAATATTTTTATCTTCATGATTATATTCCCTAACTAGAAAACTACTGTTATATCTGTTTTCGTATGAATTGTGTTAAATCTGTAGGATCCACAAGCAATTATTTACATTTTCGGATCTGATTTCTGAGTTATGCCTCTTTTGTAGATGGTGGCGATATGCAAATTTCCATGCCATTGCAAGCTACTATCTATTCGTATGTAAATAAGCCACTTTAATTAAATTCTAAGTGAGACGCTTATGGCTGGCCTTTCTCGGTATTAAATACCGTAAATGTACAAATCGGTCAATGTGCTTTTATGCAGTTGCAGGGAGAATGAGTAAGTGCAAGTTGTGTGAATGCAGCAAGACGAAATTTTATATAATAAAAAATCATACACTGCATGAAATTAAAAAAAAATTAAGTAAAATAAAGTACATAAAAAATAGGTAAGAAAATAAAATAAAATTCGGGAGAAAATGATCGGTATGTATAATAAAATGAATGGAATGATATGAAATGATATTATTATTATTATTTTATAGAAAGAAAGTGATCAATCACTGACTTAAAATAATTAGGCGCCAGTAATTTAAATAAAACAAATTAAAATAAAATAAAATAAAATAAAATAAAATAAAATAAAATAAAATAAAATAAAATA